CTTTCACAGCAAGTGGTGGCCCTAGAATTATTGCTATCACAATCACTGTGTACATACATGTGTGCACCCTATGCACGTGTTTGCACATGTGTGCGGAGGGCAGGGTGGCACCGCTGCGTTTACATTTACTTTTTTTGTTGTTTATTTTACACCTTATTTAATACATTTTTACACTTTTTATTTTTTCTTATTTAACTTTAATGCTATCACAAGGGGCTAATAATTCCCTATGTGATAGCACTGGCAGGTGACAGGTAGTCTTTATGTTTCCCCTGCCCTCTGCTACAACCCATCAAGTACAGATTTAGCTTGATCAGCCGTTTACCTGGCCTTGCTGGCCAGCATGTGAAAGTGCTGAACTTGGAAATGCTGGGAGCATGGTGTTTCTAGGTTCACTGACTGCAGAGCAAATTGGGTAATTGAAGTTACTCGATCTGCTCCTGCTCACCATCCTGAAGTATCTGTTGTGGTCCAGGGAAGGGGGTTGGCGAGGTGGAGAAGGTGGTTTGTGGTGACTTCACCTTATCACCTTATCAGGCCCATACAAGCGATCACATCAAAGCCGAGAGCAAGCTGCAGCCGTGATCTTGGTATAAGCACTTACATGCAGGTACTCTTAAGTGATTAAAAATAATAGATTGTGATTAATTTACTGATTAACCCCTTCATGACTGAGGCCCTTTTTTCAATTTTTGCACCCATGTTATATTCCACATTTTAGGCCTGAAAATGACGTAAAACCCCCAAGTTGTGTTCTGCCTCACAAGGATAGACAGCTATCGCCTTCCTGCCAGGTATACTGCAACAACAAGTACTGTTATTAAAACTGAAAATATTCTCAATGTTTGAATAAAATACTTGACATAAGAAATCCTCCTTCGCTACTACCTAATCATGTACAAAGGCAGTTTAATCTTTGGGTGTACAGGGTGGAGAATTAGATATGGGATCGACAGAGTTCCCTATCGTCACAACAACCACAAAGTTTAACAGATGTGATGGGCAAAAGTCAATTGACCACCAATTTTGCACGACCCTATATAAAATACGTTAAACAGGATTTTTTACCTGCAACTCAGTTTCTTGGAGCACATCATAGGACACAGGGAGTTAAATTATTTAACCACTGGGTTATGCAGCTACCTTCAGGTGAATGGACACTGGCAAATCAATCAAAGCTGCAGGACAGCCCTGACATAACCCTCACAGCCTGCCTCCGTTTTGGAGCAAGCAGGGGAGGGTCCTCTGTCCTGTGATGCACTTTAAGAATGGATTTTACATGTAAGACAAAAATCCTGTTTTCTTGATTGTATATCACAGGACACACAGTTAAATTCTATAACCACCAGGACATTCAAAGCACTCCAAAAGGAGAGCAGGCAACACAGTAAACTACAACTAACAGGTCCAAGAAACAACAACTCCCCAGATTTGGCAAACCGAAGCTTGATGCTGAAAACACCCAATAAGCACGAACATTCATAGTAGAGTGGGCAGTGACTGAAAGTAGGGAACTTTCCCCTTCAACTCATAGGCCTGAGAGATGTCTGATCTTAGCAATAGTGGAGCAGGAGGCTGGTTCCCCCATACAGGGAACCTTAGGACAGAGTCAGACAGGGAAATGAAAGATGTTGCAGAGAGTTAAATTCTACCACCCGAACCACGTCCGAACATTGGAGGGAAATCTCCTTAGGATGTTTCATCACAAGGATGGTAAAGCAATGACCTGGTTAAGGTGGAAGTCAGAGACCACCTTAGGGGGAAAGGAGGCCTTAGGCCTCAGCACAGCTTTATCCTGAATAACCAGAAAGGGCTCCTTGCAAGTCAAGAATGCCAATTCATAAAGAGGCCTAGCAAAGGTAAAGTAACTGATCAAAGCTACCTTGTAATTGAGGGCAGAGGAATATCCCTCCGGGCTTACGGCTTCTGAAAAACTGACAGAACCAGACTGAGGTCCAACTAAGAACACAAAGAGGGGGAAAAAAGCAAGTGGTCTCTAGAAGAACTTAGCCAAAGCCTAAATGTGACCCTTGATGGCACTCAAGGCTAAACGCTGATCCAAGCCAGACTGCAGAAAAGGAGTCTTTCCAAGTATGAAACTTACTGACTTCATACCAAGCGAAACAGGCTGCTTAAGTGAGATGGGAGATCAATTTACTAGCCTTAAAGCCAATTTCCACCTTTGGAGGTATTTATAAAAAATAAAAAAAATACATATGCCAGCAATGTAGACAGATTGTGCATGAAACAGGCATATGGGGCTAATGTGTAACTTACTTTTTCTTGTTAGCTTTCCTCTTCATATTCTCATGTAAAAATGTCTGCCGGTGTTTTGCATGCTCTTTCTCACCTCTCCCACTCATTAGTATTCAGAGTGGCACCACCCTCTCCCCCTCCAGACAGTGTATTGTGTGCAAAACAGAGCTGCTGTTTACAGATAATGTTACAATGAATAACAGGGAGGGGGAGAGCTGTTTAAAGCCTAATTACCATCCGACCCTGGGGTCTTACTGATTTTCCTGTGGAGAAAATGTTTGAATTTTTAGGCTTAAGGCCTAATAAAAGGTTTGTTAAAAAAAAACAAGGAAAGCCTGCAATGTGAGTCATGAAAGTCCTTCTGTCTTATCATGTAATCCTAGACATACTCCATAATGTTTAGATCAGGGCTATGTGGGGGCCAAACCATCACTTCCAGGACTCCCTGTTCTTCTTTACACTGAAGATAGTTCTTAATGACATTGGCTGTATGTTTGGGGTTGTTTTTCCTGCTGCAGAATAAATTTGGGGCCAATCACACGCCTCCCTGATGGTATGGCGTAATGGATACTAGAGTTGGAGATTTGGTCAGGATCCATGGTGTCCTCAATGCTGAGAAATACAAGCAGATACTTATCCATTATGCCATACCATCATGAAGGCATGTGATTGGCCCAAAATGTGTGGCCTCTATGGCTAAATGTGTCAAGGAGATCATCTATAAAATCCACTATGACAGCAGTGAGCACCTCTCTAGAAATTAAGTCAGAAGAGGCTGCCCTAGAGGGAACAATTAATAACCCTGATCATCACTCATTTTACCTGATGAAGGGGATCTTGTGAGACTCCGAAATGTTGCTTTTTGATGCATTGTGCTACGTCTCATCCGTCAATAAACAGACGCCATTGATTCATCACTTGGAGTGCCGGTGTCTATGTTATTCTGTGATTATAGACGGTTGCCATCTCTCGACTTCCGCAGCACCCATCTTTTATATGGAACAGCGCTTTTGAGTGCGATGGGTTCATGGACTGTACCCAGAGTGGGTAGAACCCTTGGCAGAACTGTGATCAAGTTGTGTGGCCTCCACAGGCCTCACCCCAGTAGCCCCACACCTATGATCTGCCACATGTGTACTCCACAAAAATCATGACCATAGGAGTGTGCCCTATGTCCAGGCACTGCAGGCAGGGGAGACATAGGTTTGAGGACAGCAGTGCTGCGCATCAGTGTAGTGGTGATGCTTCTCCCTTGTGTGCCTGTGCAGACTTTTAGCAGCATGATGCATGTGTTCAGCTAGAGCATGCGCCAGGATTACACTACCCATGAAAGAGGCTTTGCAGGTGTTGTTCGCAACTCCAAGGAAAACAACCACCGACGCCAAATTCCGTTTGTTTCTTAAAGCTAAACCACTACAAATAGTGTGACACAGGAGTCGCACCAGAGCTGCAGGTTTAACCCTGTAGGGTACTGGGGCAGCTGGTGGGGACTGGCTAAGGCTTACTTCAGGGGCTTTTGGTCCTTACTATAAATGCAGAAGTGGTCAAAAGAGACATGCCATTTGATCTTGGCCCCTTGGGTGGACATACCTCCCCAGGAGGACTTCTGAGTCAGGGCTCCATGAAATTGATGGCGACCATGTACCTGAAGAGCACCTTGCAGCTGACCACACATGGTGCATAAGTGCCAAGGAGGGAGCTGAATGCACGGTCCAGTAGCTGAGCACGTTATAAGCCAGCCCTGCATTTTCCTTGTGACGGGGTCCTGGTATGGTCCACCAAGGTTCTTTCAACCCAGATAGATGCTGGAGGCGCTGCAGTGGTTTCAAGTGGAATTAGGGCTACAAGAGTCTTGCAGAAAGTATCAGAAAATATTGTGCAAAAGCAAGTACGTTTTAAAGCTGAAAGAAGGCAACCATCACCTAAGGACACTAGCCAAAAACTGAGGTAGGCTGGGAGTGGGTTGAGTTATGCAGGGCTGTCCTGAAGCTTTGATTAATTTCCCAATGTCCAATCACCTGAAAGTAGCTGCATAACCCGAGTGTTTAAATAATTGGCTTATAAAAACTGAAACCTTCCAGCAGCTACATCACCTTGGGTAGCAGTATTTCAGTCAAGCATAATGATCTTGACATTACTGATATGCAGGAGCTTGGACATCAGTTGCAGCTGGAACATTCTCCTTCCTACAGCTACATGTCACAAAGGGACAGGGAATGTATGAATCACAGCTTGGCACTGGCTTGAGCTTACTGGGTTTGCACCAAGTCCCCACACCTCACTACATGACAGAAAGCACATACTTCACTATTCCACCTTTGGTCTCCTTCCATGACTGCCGATTTCAGTTGTAATTGTCAGAGAGCAAAAACCACATTGACTTTTACTATAATAACTTCTGATGGGCATAGATGCTGTACAGTATGAGAAGGAGAGAAGACATAACCCAGAGAAGCAGATACTCAGAGTAGAGCTCACAAGGCAAGTACGACTTCTCACAGCGAAAGGAGAAAACTTAGTCGGCCACTATGCCACCCTTCTCACATGTAAAATAGTGTTTGAAAGAAAAATAAGTAACCTTATCCCTATAACACATACTGTATGTAGACAATGAAGTCAGGGACAGGGACTTAGAAAGTACTGGAGTCATTGGATCAGCATGACAGCTAGGAAACTAACATTTTCAGAAAGAGATCAGGAATGTAAGAATACAAAATATACTATAGAGAAAACACAGCAAGTACCTGTCAGATGGTGGAGGTGTGAGGCGTATAGTTATTGTTTCAGTGTCTATAGGAGGTGATGGTTCTGTTAGAACTGGTGAGGTAGGTTCACTTGATACTGTAGGTGGTTCACTATTTATCCAGGATACCGAAGGAGTGTGCGCCAGCGCTGTCCTGTATATGAAGAAAAAAATAGAACTAGTATTGGTTTCATGTACAGTTTTACACATTTGGTGTTTTCATTAGTTTCCAATTGTTTTTATAATTACATTTTTTACCGCCTGTAGTAATAAAGCCTATCTATCCAATGTGGTACATTTAGCCAAAGACTCCCTCACTTCTATGCAAATAGAATTAGGCCACCTAAATAGCAGTTTTTTCCCCCCACAATACCCATGACATTCCATGGTAAAAACCAAATGAGCCATTTCAAGGCACCAAGAACAGTAAAAGAAGAAGGTGGCTTATTAATTAATTTTCAGCACAGAAAAGGCAAAAAACACAACATACTTTCATATAGTATATGGATACATAAACCTACTGTTGCAGGAAGTCACAGAAAGAAATTTAGATTTTCTCGCATTGTCTTGCACCTGTAACGTTTCCAAATACTTCAATAAATTCTTCTATCTAATCTGTTAATGTACTGAATATTGCGTGGGGACAACTAATGTCTAGCTGACAACAATGATCTCAGCAAATTACAGAAAATGACATGTATTTACTAGCACAGAATTAACACACACTCACAAATCTAACGGGCTGATTCAGGATTGTGGACATAATATGCCATCCAAGTGTGCTAATGGTTGACTGCTTATTTAACCTTCAATGCGTTAAAAAATCTGCATGCTAACACACGTATTTACTGTGCATCAATCTGCGATAAATGCAACACAAATGGTGCGAACGGACCCTTAAGGTGCTATCCCTCCTCAGAACTGACCAGTAAAGCTACCCATCAAATTTAGGAGCACTAGAAGTGGGATGGGGCAGTGCCTGGCATTGAATAGATCAGGGAGAGTAACACCCCAAACCATGCTCCAGGTAACCTAGGAGTACCAAGATCCAGGGTGAGGAGAGTCTGCAATATTTAGGATAGGAAGTAAAGGAATCCAGAGAATAACAAGAAATCCAAAGATTTGAGTAAAAGCTGCTTGGAAACCATTCAAACCATTCAAATTAAAAGGTGGTTCCCAAACACACTTGTAAAAGTAAGGATATGATATTAAACAGAGGGTTTACAGGTGCAAACTCTGCAGTCTACATGGGAGAAATATTTTGGCTATGAGGTAATGCAGTTGTACTAGGCACTGTTTAAACATTGCATTGATGTCCAATCACATAGCCACAGTGTCCTGCACATATGGACAGACATTACTGCCATGTGAGACATTGACTAAGAGGAAAGCACAATTGTAGTGAAGGGCTTCATGCATACGTTCAGTTAGAGGAATCCACTTTAAAAGAAGTTATCCATTCAGAAATGGATGAGAGTCATTCAGCTAGCTCAAACTGGGATATAAACAAGGACTCTTAACGAAGCATCAGCAAAATCCCTAAATGTAAAGATAATATTCACCCAGGTGAGGAAATGTCTATTAAGGACTGAAGAGTCTACAGAATTTAAGGGCCAATTGACCAGGAATTTCCCTATTTAAAAGAAAACACGTCCTGACACGATCAGGAGAAAGCCATAATCGAATAGGAAGTTTCCAGTCTTCACACAGGAAGTTTTCCAGCAAGGAAGGTCTTTTCGGCACAAAAGAACGAGAGAAGCGTCCATATCTGGATGAGCAGATTAAACTTCTATAGGCATGGTCGAACGTATGGCATCAAGCAGATTAGAGATAATCTTGAGCATGTTAGATTTGCTAATGACCCAATTAAAATCATATCTCACCAGAGTAGACTGTGAAGGTTTTGTATCAGAGTCAGAAATAACGATAGGAGGCTCAGACATACTTAATGAGTAAAATGCCTATGGAGCTTGAGGTATGTGCGGCCAAAGAGGTAACAGTGGGAAGTTCTGCAAGCAGACCGATTCATTCGTTACACACAAACTGACAAAAAATGAAGGTTAGAGGCCTGATAGCTCTAGTAGAGGTAGCAGGCTCAGGTAGAGAAGTCAAAGAAGTTGGTGATGGGGACAAACCTAAAAAAATAAGGGTTCCAGGATTCTGACCACCAACGACGGTTCTTAAAGTGATACTGGCAAATCGCCCCAGAAATAGAAAGGGAACATTGTACAAAGTCACCTTATGTAACAGGAATGTCCTCCAAGCGTTAAAAGACATAATGCACCTGTTGGTTGTTGCATTGACTAACTAGGTACAAAAGACACAAAGCCTTGAGTATACACAAACCAGAGCAGATTGAGTTGAAGTGAGTTATAGGTGGGTTGAGGTGACCAGGTCACTGAGGGCAGGCAGTGGATCAGCCCAGGGACTGGAGAATGTATGTGGTGCTTCGAAATAGAAGTCTTTTCCTCTAGAAATCCAGGAAAGAGGGTGAGGAGCACATGCGTGCAGGGCTCTATGCTGTGTGTGATGTCAGCGCTGATGTCTCACTGCTGATTGCACTACCTCAGGAAAAAAAGAGTGAAGGTTTAAAAATAAAGCCTAACAGCAGAGAGCTATGAGGCAATGCCTACTTATTATTAGGGCTGCAACTAATGATTATTTTTCTAATTGATTAATTGGCCGATTTTTTCAATTAATCTGAGAAAAAAAACATTTAAAATACCATCCTTAATGTAAAATAAAATAAACAAATAGAGTGTTACAAAGTTTACTTCAGAATAAAACTGCATGCACAATTTTTTGCAATTGCACTGCACTGGAACACACGGCATTCCGGTACCGGGTGCTCCAGTTAATTGTTACTGCAACGCACCTCCTGCAGCAGAATTTCTCAGTCGAAACTGAAAATGACTTTTTTCCCCAATAATATACACACACTATATTGCCAAAAGTATTGGGACACCTGCCTTTACACGCACATAAACTTTAATGGCATCCCAGTCTTAGTCCGTAGGGTTCAATACTGAGTTAACCCACCATTTGCTGGCTATTGCACCTGCCCACTGCTTGCTGTGCTCTCCTCTCAGATGGAGGAGAGAGCTAGGAGAGATCCAACCAACTAATCGATAATGAGAATAGTTGACATCTATTCTCATTATCGATTAGTTGGTTGCTGCCCTACTTATTATTAATCACAACCTACTTATTAAATTATTGAAATGTGCCAAGGTCACACTCAGAAGAGGAGCCACTGCTCTAGGCCTGGACAGGAGGCTGTAGAGCACTAATTTGTGTGCAGCATCCAAAGGTAACATACTAGAATGCCTTATGGTATGACAGTATCCAACCTCCTAGGACAGTAGCAATAAACTGTGGTATGAATGTATGGAGTGGGGTTATAGCAGGTTGGCCTTCAATTGTTCACCTCCTGGAGGCAGTAACATAACCCACACATATATGATTACTATATATCTGTGTCCTTCAAAGGGGCTCTCTGTTAGGCAAACATAAACCACAATGTGTGCATTAATTTTGGTCCACTTCCTCCCACCCCTTTGCCATATTATTGGCCTGTGAGGCAGCTCATCCCATTAGATGGCCAACAAGAAGTTGTACAAGCAAAGCTTGAATAAGGAAGTTGCTGATATTCTGTAGCTAGTAGAGAATAATTTGGTATGAGGCACTAAAAAATGTGGCTGAGCCCAAAGTAAAACTGAGATCACTGCAGAGAAGATCTCTGTCTTAGCATAATCTCTACAGTAAGGAGTTCTATTTACTATTTGTAATACACATTATCATAGAAGAAAGTTTGTTATAATTTTTCATAGGTTCAAGAAGCAGAAATCTATTTAATCATTTCTTTCTTTACTGAATACAAAAAGCCTCATATTAGACGGGCAATAATAACAGGACAGCAAAATAGAAGACAAGAAATGTTCATGATGAGAATAACTCATTGGGCTTGTGTTTCTAATAACTGTGTAAGCTTTGCATTCAAGGCACAGCTTGGACATCTGAATACTAGTAAACCACAGCAGAGGTGGCTCTTCCATTAGGACATTTTAGGCAGTCGCAGCCCTCAGGGATGATGTAATTCACCTTGGTTCCCATAGATGGTGTCTCTGTTGCAGGAGATGGTGATAAACAAGCACCAAGCAATGACTTATTTGTTTTCTAAAGAAAGTTTTTTTTTACAGGATTCAGAATACACTGGACCAGATACAGATAATAGATGGATTTTTTTTATGTTTTGGGACACTACATTTAACTTAAGTGCACTTTTCACTAAATGCTGGGGTTTGATAACCTAAAATTTGATAACATAAAAAATTGCAACTCCCAACATTTTATTTTACAGGGTCTTGGCTTTCAGAAAATATATAATGTTTGAAGTAATTTTCAGGCCTAAAATGTGGGTTATGCATGTGTGCAAAAAACAAGAGAAAGGCCATGGCTTGACTGGAGACAATACACAGACTGGTAGCACTTAATACAATCATTTCTTGGTGGGTTTCCTTCCTTGCCCTGCTCATTTGCCCTTTTTGGCAGGACTGTCTTCCTCTTCAGAACTTTCGTCTTTATTCTTTTCCATTTTCTCATTCTTTGGTTGCTCTGCCTTATTTGAAGCAGCTGGCCTTTTTACAGCTTTTGGAGGAAATTCTGGATCTTCCTCATCACCTTCTACCTCTGCACAGAAGTAGTCCGCTTCCAATGCAACATGCTGTACACCGGCCTAGATCCAAATTTTCAGCTGGAATGTGACTGGCGGAGTCAGTTGAATGCCCACCATGGTAGTCATTGGCAGAATAGAAGGCTTTAGTGTGGCAATGGGCTTAGATGGCTTTTGTGTGAGCAAGAACTTCTATCAGCTGCAGGTCATAGTTACATAGTATTTGAGGTTGAAGACATTAGTCCATCAAGTCCAACCTATTAGGATCTCATTCTAGGAGTACCTGTACCCCTGTATATTACGGTCCCTTAAGAAATCGTCCAAAAGTTTCTTGAACAATTCCACATTATTTGCTGAAATCACCGCCTGTGGCAGTGAGTTCCAGACCCTAACTGATCTTACTGTGAAGAACCCCCTTCGCCCCTTGTGCTGGAATTTTTTTTCCACCAATTTTAGGTGGTGGCCTCTAGTTTTTGTAATGG